GGGGGGGTGACCTCATGAGGGCAAAGACCTAATTCACCATCACCTGCAGAGAACTCACTTCAACCCCTCCCCCTTTCCCCCTCATCTTTTACTCTTCTACTTTTACGCCAATGATGATTAACATCATTTGGGATTTCCTCTCCTGAAGCTAATCGCATCACTTTCCGCCTGATTGTTCTTTGAATGATTATAATTCAAACCCTAAGACTTACAACTGCTCTGGTATAGCTAATTAAGCCAGCTGGCACATCCGCCTGCTAAATCCCCTGAGAGCTCACCGAGAGTGGTTTTTCCCAGTTCATCTCCTCCCACATGTGTAAATACTGTGCTCAAACATACTTACTCACACAAAGACAGGCGCACAACAGAAATACACACTTATAAACTATCGCATTTTCAGGCTCATTGCCTTGCTCGTTCGCTCACTTACTATCTTATTTACGAACTCATTAATCCTCTGTCAATCTCTCTCTCTCTCTCTCTCTCTCTCTCTCTCTCTCTCTCTCTCTCTCTCTCATACTCACAGACAGAGAAAACATACAGACACACACATTTACACACACGTCTTATGCAGTGTCAATAAACGACAAACATGAGTAAAATATTCTCCCTCACGCACGTACACAAATACGCGCAAACACACAAAACACGCACACACACAGAGGCTCACACACACATGTCAATACATGCACCCTGTAATCACCCTGTTCCCCCTCCCCTCAAATTTCCCGTTTCTCGAAATACCCCTCTCCTCTAATGTTTTGCTCGAAGCAAGGAAAGGCAATCCAAGAAGAGGAAAGGGCTCGCCGACCGCGAGTGAGCCGTGCTTGATGAGCCAAACTAGCAGCTCCAAGCAGCACGTGCGCTGCCTCCAGTGGGTGCCAAAGCGATCCACCTCTCGCTTCGACCGTGAGCAATTAGGATTTGAGAGAGGGTAGTAGCTCGCTTATACGGAACCCACGCGGACGTCTTCAACGTGGCTAAGCATTGCGTGGCGTGGGGGAAATTTTTATGCGCGGACATCTGTGAGTCAAACAGGTAGCGTGTGATGCTACGCAGTTGGACGTGACCGATTTGTTCCTTTCTCTCTTTTGCCGTTGTCTCAGTCGTTTACGTTATTGCAAGGGGAATCCTGTGGAACTTCAGGTTTCTTGCAAAATTGTTTGAACGATTCAATAGCTTTGTGGCCAACAAGATAAGTTTTTATTCTGCTTTAGTGTTTATGGATATTGTGTCGTCGTCAGAGTCCATCTAAGTTGCAGTCTGAAAAAGGAACTTAAAAAGGTAAGCTTTAAGTGTAACAAAATGTTTTTGCTGTTTTGGGAGCTCTTTTTAGACGTGTGCGCATTTGGGTATCAAGATGAGTTATAGGACATGTTCACTTTACTGAGACTGAAAAAAAAAGAAACTGTAAGCAATACAAACATAACTGTATATTCTTGAATTTTGACAGGGGCAAATTGCTTGTTGCGACTGCATCATAAAGATCTGAACTCTTGACTCCGGTACTTTGTTTCCAACGATCGACACGTTGGACAGGCACAGGGAATCACAAGCGTCTGAGTAATGAGAAGAAGACAATATTATGTCGTTATGGCTCCGGCAATTTCCTTACTTGAAAACATTCTATCAGTATCGTATGCCGAATCATCTCTATGAGACGGCATGTATTATAGCTATTGAGACTTGGAGCTCGATCTACATAATCGGAAGACTCGAGTGGAAGGAAAATTTTATTCTATTTGCATGAACACGAACAGACGTTATCGAACACTCGCCATTTCTAAGAAACTTATAGAAGCAGGTTATAACATTCTGAAATGTTTGCGAGTGTGTGTGTGTGTGTGTGTGTGTGTGTGTGTGC